CCCTGCTGCTGGCACCCATCCAGTGGTGAGTGGGAGGGCCATGTGGAGTTGGGGTGGGGGAAGGCAAAGTGGGGCATCCAGTGGCTGCAAGGGGGACAAGAGAGTGGGCAGGGGTGACCAAGTGTGACTAAGAAGGAGGCAGGTGTGGCAAGGGGAGGGGGAGAGGAAGAGGGGCTCTGGGGCAGGGATGACAGAGTGAGGGTCAGCAGTGGGACTGCAGGGACACAGAGACGGGGAGGGATGGCCAGTGAGGGAGTCCCTAGTCCAGACTCAACCTCCAGCCTTGCTCAGGTTCAAAGCCCCTTACTTCTTCTGCAGGTAGGCAGCCACTTCAGACTTCCGGAAGCCCTCAAGGTGATAGAGGCGAGCGGCCAAGTTCCAGGCCACCTGGGCAGTCCTGACCCCATTGGCCAGCTTGTCTCCAGCCTGTGGCCTCTGGCCTTCCTCTGGGGACTGTGAGTGAGGCATGGGGCACTCAGGAAGCCTGCAAAAGCCCATCGGTGTCCTCAGACTCCCACTTGGGATGGTCATGAGGGGGTTCTGGGTCAAGTGTCGCTGAAGGTCAGTCATGGAGGGGGTGCTCGGAGTCTGTGCCCAGAGATCAGCAGCGGAACTGGAGCCCCAAGGTCTGAGTGGTAACAAAGGAGCTGGACCGGGGCCTCACTGGGGAAGAGACATGTTAACAGCCTGTGCAGCCTGACCTGGCCCAGCGGCTGGGCACCAGGCGGACCCACAGAGGGTGGTATTCACCCAAAACCGGCCGGGGATGAAGCTAAGCTTGGTACCCAGTATTTCCTAAGGCAACCCACAGGGAAGCCCTGAGCCTAGTCACCTGGGGGTGGCAGGTGCACAGTCTTCCCTTGGAAGAGGCCAGTGGTGTTTAGTCCATCCCAGGGAGGGTTGGGACTGTCTCCCCAAATCCTGGAAGCTACCTGTCTCCCCTCACCTGTCCTGCCTCCTCTAACTGCCTCCTTGTGCCTTTCCCTGTCCCCAGCCCCAGCCTCCACTCCAAATGCAGAGCCAGCGAGGGTGCGAGGCAAGGCAAGCCCAGGAAGCCAGACTGGCCTTAGACAAGGCAACAGCTGGGGGTCAAAGAGGTGGCTTCTAACTTCTCCCTTCTGTCCCAGGAACCAGCAGCCCATGGTACAGAAAGCCCTTCCTGGGAGCTGGGGTGGACCAGGAGCTAGGGTGGTGATCTGTTATGAGTGTACACAGGTCAGGCAACCCCCGACAGACTCAGAGACACTCAGAGTGTGACACTCAGACTCTCAGAGGTCACCAAGCCCAGTCTCCACTAGCCTCTCCTGCTTCCCCTGCAACGTTACAACCAAGTGTGGGGGCTTCTGTTATCTGAATATTCATTATCCAAGTTACCACACGTATGGAGTTGCACAGATACAAAACTTGTTGCAACATGAAAACAGCCGCTGATTGGCTGACCACTTCTAAAATTAGGCTGCACTGGACCGTCCTCTCCACTTAACCCAAATGTCCATCCTTACCCCTGACTGAGTCAGGGTTTTGCTGGTAACTTCTCACTGCTTCCTGGGCCACATACATGTCCAACAGTGCAGGGCAAACAGAACCAAACCAACTGAAAAGTACAATTATAAATCTTGTCCCATGAAGTTCATGAATGTGGTGCTGGAAGCCTCCAGAAATCACATAGAAAGCCACCAGCAAATGAGGATCTGGGAAAGTTAGTCCAGTGAACAGTTGCAGAGGAGAAAATAAAAACAATGACCCACTTGTCACATCCAAAGAGAACTATTTGGATCATCAGCTGATGAAGCCCTAAAATACTTTCATAAAAATGGCCTGGTCATTTAGTGTTGTTACTAAAATAAGATCTAGAAGGGGAGGCATTTTAGGGGAAAACAAAACCACAGTGTAAATAAAAATTGTCATGGACTTCTACACTTGACGTGGGTGAACTATACGGCATGTGAATTGTATCTCAATAAAGCTACTACTAAAATAAGTAACGGTTTAAAAATAAGATAATGGAAACAAAAGAAACCAAATTAAATTCAAATGATATTTAGGACCTCACTGTGAAAAGTCAAGCATGAATGAGGGACTCTCGCTGGAACAGCAAACATGGACTGGGAAAATAAAGCCGCCTCTGTTGTGTTAAATGTAAGATTAAGTAAATTTATTGCTGTACTATTTAGTGTCCTTTCCCAAGAAGAGCTCCAATTAAATAGTTTTCCATTGTTTACTATGAAAATATGTTTCTCATTTTAGGTGGATTTATTTACTTTTATTTTGGGTTGAATTCACTGTAATTTTTGGTGTCATGAGCCCTCTCTGAGAGACTCTGAACATCTCCCGGGGCAGTGAGGGGTCCAAGATGCCTGAAGGAGATGCTTTGGTGTCTGGCACTGCCTGAGGTTCTGTCCCCATCACCCGATGACACAGACAGGAGTGAGGCTAACCCTCGAGTTGGCGCAACATTAGGTCCGTGACCTGAACCATCACTGGTTCCTGCTGGTCTCACAATATGACCCCAAGTCAGCCAGCTAGAGGGCAAACCCCGCTCCCCTGTAAGGATCCCAGGGCCTGACAGTGTTCATGCAGGTAGACAGTGAGGTTGGTTTCCCAGTTGGCCTATTTCTACCTCTGGTCACGGTTCTGGGGTTGCTCAGTCCTGCTACAGACCCCAGGGTCCACTCCCTTGGTCCCAATCAGGCTTTCCCTTGGTGGTCCAGCTTCCTCTGAGAGCCGAGCCAGCAAGCACCCTGGCCTAGGCCCTTAGATGAATTTCTCCAGGCACCTCCTCAAAGTCAAAGCAGCGTGTGATCCCACATTGCAAGCTCTGACCTTCCTACTGCCCAGACCTGCCTCACTCAGCTCCCATTCTTCTGGCACCTGCACCTGGGCAGGTTCCCTGAGTACCTCCCCTCCTTCTGTCTTGGTGTCTGGCCTGGACATGGCCCTCAGGGCACTGCCTCAGCCACTCAAATCCTGCCCTGGTGCATGACTGTCTGCTCTCTGGCTTCTTGTGCTTTCAAACCCTCCAGCCTTTCCAAAACCCCACAAGCGCTGTCATAGAAGTCCGGCTTAATAGATATTAGCATGTTAAATCCCAGGGTGTATTTCATATGCTCCATCCAGACCAGAGCATTCCTAAATGTTTCCATAATTAGGAACTAGGCAGTCAGTTAGTCCAACACTTACCCTTCTGTGGAGGTCAAGTCAGCGTCAGGCTGGGCAGCTCCAGGCTCTGAAGGCCTGGCTGGACCTTCATTCTTTACTTCTTCTGCGGGGATTGGGGCCTCTCCTGTCTCCTGTTTCTCCAAGGAGCTTGGTTCTGCCCCGTCTGTCTCCAAGAGTGAAGGGGGTGAAACACCTAGTGTCCACTTGGGAAAAATGTCTGAGTGGTGGCTCTGGAGCTGTGGGCTGCCCTCCAGGGAGGATGCAGGGCTGGGCCTGGGGCCAGGCACTCTGCTCTCTGACTCCGGGCTGCTAGGCTCCGGCGAAGAGGCTGGGCTCCCCCAGAGGCCAGGGGCCAAGGTGCAGGGGGCAGATTCCTGGGGCCACTCAGCATCCCAGTCACCTGTGGAAGAGCATGGAGCGAGGCTGGTGTGAAATGAGAGGCGGACTGTGGGCCGGGGGGTGTGACACAGTCAGGAGAGCGGCAGCCGCCTCCCTGCACTCCCTCCCTGGCCCCTCCCTGGAGCTGGGCAGCATGGGCTGTCCCTTCCACATGCAGAGGCAGCAGCAGACTGCAGACAACTCCCAGGGCTCCAGCCCAGAGGCAACCAGGGGTTCAGGACTTGTGAAGCCACCAAGACCCAGGTATCCAAAGTTCTGGGTCTTTTAGACATTTCTTCATATACTCTATGAGTATTTAAAAACCCATTGTGTTGATGAAGTCACAGAGGCAGAGGTAGGATTTAACCCTAAGTCTGTTCAAGTCCAACACGATACAATGGGACTTCTTAATGACACCCACCAATCCAAGAATGTCCTTAGTCCCCACTCCAGATCCCAAAGCCTCCCATCACCCTATTTCCCAGACCTCTATAGTGGGTCTCACCTCTGTCCTGGGAGATAAGAGGCACCTGGGGCCAGGAAGGACCCTCTTCCATCTGCCAGACCTCAAGGCTGGGCAGGGCCTGGTGAGAGAGGGGCAGCATCTGTATGAGCCCAGGAGGTGCTGAGAGGTGAAGGGGAGTCCGGGAAGGGCAGGGGAGAGACAGGGCAAGGAGGATGGCTGCGAGAGACCAGAGCCTCCCTCCTGCTGTCCTCCCACACAGATGACTCAGCCCTGACCCAGGAATCCTGGATGGGAGAGAACCCACATGCTTGGGAGTGCTGGTGCTGGGCCCTGGAAATAAGTGGGTTCATGTTCCCCCTTTACAGATGAGGTGAGGCCCAGAGAGGGAGAGTGACTTGCCCAGGGTTGCACAGGTTGTGAGGCTGGGCTAGGGTACGATGGAACATGTCCCGTTTCCAAGGTCAGTGCTTCGTCCACACAGGATGCCAAGGGAGGGGCAGAGTCAAGACTGTCCTCCCGAGCAGTCTTAAAGAAGAGGACAGGAGGAGGTTTGAGCAGAAGGAAACGGACCCCAGGGCCTTTCCCACATCCCAGAGGCCTTGCTCACTGACTTCTCGTCTCATGTGCCCTGGTCTTCCTCCCTCCATGGTCGGCCCAGAAGACCCTGCCTCCTGCTGTACCAGGGGCAGTGTGACAGGGATGGTGGCAGCCCCAGGTGCCACACTGGCTCTGCCATCCTGGAGAGAGCACATGGCCGTGCTGAGGATGGGGTCCCAGGCTTCCTTCTGAGGACCCCGAGGGCCTGCAGCAACAACGTCCCCGAGAACGGGCCTTGGCGGGCAGAGCCACAGCTGCCCCATGCAGGGACCCCAGTCTGTGGGAGGAGGCGACTCTGACAGTACACAGCAAAATCTTGGGAATCTTGGGGAGGGCAAAAGAGCTGCCCTGGCTAACAGCTCTTCTTGCTTGTTCTCTGGGATTAGAGATTAGAAAGTTACAGCCCTGCTCTGCCATCTTGAGTCTCCTTATCTCTTGAGCAGAGGCATCCCTGGGAAACTGTGTTCTCTGCTGTCTCATGTCGCTCATCCTAGCTGATACCAAGGGCCTCCCCATTGTCACACTGGGCCCACTCTATCAGCACTGCATGGATGGTGGGCTCGAAGCAACAAAATGTGGAAACCTCTCAAGAAAAGAGAGGTCAGGACTCAGAACATCTCACTGCCAGGGCTGAGGTCACCCCTGCAGGCTGACCCCTGCCCTGTTAAGCTGGGAATGTCTCAGGAGGTCAGAGTGGCAGAGTCTGAGAACAGCCTGGAACATGCTGCCCACTGGAGCTGCTGTTTGTTCTCCAGCTGTGCCCACACACAGCCCGTTGGAACTGGTGAGATGGAGACATGTGTGGACTTCATTGCCATCACAGCATCCATAAACTCTCTCATAATTCTAAAGGACATGCTGGGCCTGCTTTTCTGCTATCTTACTTCAAGATACCAAAAGGCCCAGCATCTGAAGCATGTTCTGGGCCTGGTGACCTAGAGGAAGGCCTTCCCTTGAGTGTCCCATGCCCAGCCTGGGGTGACCAAGAGGAAGGCCCTTCGTTGAATGCCCCACACCCAGCCAGGGTTGGATGTCAGCGGTTGGCTTACCTGGTGCTCGCCCCAGCCAGAAAGTACTGCAGGAGGCCCCTTGGAGGCGTCCACCTGGGCCGCAGAGAGCAAATGTGGTTTGTAGATGGGCATGGGGAACGGAGGCGTGGTGTGCCCACTGGAGCCGGCTGTGCTGTCCCCCAAATCCAGCTTGCTCCCCAGCTCCCATGGCACTCTGCCCCCGAGGACGGGAGGCTCCAGCACCTGTGGACTCTGGGCCCCAGGCCTCACATCTGCAAGGGAGTCTGGGAACCCCCAAGAAAAGTGTGCTCCAGAGGAACCAGTGTCTGAGCAAGGGCTCTCCAGAAAGAGAGGGTTGTCGAAAAACACACTCTCCTCCTCAGCACCCCACTCTGGGGAAGAGTCCGGCATTCCCTTCCTCGGCCACACGGGGTTCTGGCTCTCCCCATCAGGCCCGCTGCTGTCTTCCCCGGAGGCCTCTCCCACTGGTGCACTGGGGTGGAGGCCCGAGTCTTCCAGGCCTGCTGGACTGGACGGGAAAGTGGCGAGGTTGGCAGGGGCTGTGGGGAGGCAGCATCTCAGCTGGGCCCTGAGCCCTTCCGTCTTCTCCAGTTCCTCCTCCAGGTCCAGGACGCACATCTGGGCCTGCAGGATGCCTGCCCAGAATGCCACCTGCGTGGACGAGCTCTGGCTCTGTCTGGGGCCCCCCTGGGAAGAGCCACTCCCCAGGGGTGCAGGCTCTGCACTGGAGGCTCCTGGGGGAGCATCTTGCCTTGTGGAATCAGGAGGCCCAGAGGCCCAGGTCTTCTCCTTGCAAGGTCTGGGAAGGTCACACACTTCCCTGCAGGATGCTCCTGGGGGGGTCAGTAGGTTGTCTCCCAAACAGATGTTGAGAAATTCCACAGGTGTGGGGTGTTCAGAGGGTCTGTTGTCCCCCATCATCCACAGAGAGCAGGCTGTGAGGGAGCCTGCAGGAGTTTCCTGCCTTCACTGTCCCACTGAGTGGGTCAGGGGACGTATAGGCCAGGGCGGCAGCCAGGAATCCACATCTACCCTGGAAGAGCCCAAAGCAAAAGGCAGGTCATGGTGCTGGCAGCCCCAGAAGCACAGTCCAGGGTCACACAGGCTCTGCAGTGCCTGCCACATCCAATGCCCCAGCTAAGAGACGCTGCTACACAGCCTGCCGGGGCGGGGAGTCGAGCACGTACTCCGCCTGACCTGACTCCCAACTGTGTGAACCAGACGGTACCTGCTCCCAAGACAACCATCTGTTGGCTGAAGGTGGCCTGAGTTGCTTAGATGAATAAGATGAACTGGACAAACAGGGAATTTGGACTGGAGGACGGAGAGACTGAGGCACTGGCAGCTGGAGCAGAGAGCAGAAATGCCTCAGGACAGCAAGAAGCAGTGGCAAGCCAGAAATGGTGTGCCAGAGGAAGCAGTGAGCGCACAGCAGACACAGCCTAGAGGTGAGGAGGATGGGGTGACTGGGAGAAGCAGGTACTTGGGACAACAGGGTGCAGCCCGCCCTCCCTCCTCCCAGGCTCCTGGCTTTGGGGCCTGCACCCTTCGCAAGGCTGGCCAGCTGGCTCATTTCCAGCAGGGCCACTGGGCCTAGGAGGAGCAGATAGGAGACCTCCCCTAAGCTCAGCCTG